ATTCACACTATCTAATCGCGTCTATTACGGCGCCCCCCCCCCCTGAATTACTGCTTCGTTTACTCCTCACTATTCACTTCGTTGCTATTCACCGGCGACCATTTCGCACGGGATAATGGAGGCACCAGCCACGGAACAGTACAATGATCATACTGTAAATGTCCGAGACCATTACAATAAACCAGTCCCATTGGGTATGGTCTGGCGCCTGTGGCCGTGCACAAAGGGAGCCCTTAAACGTGTCGCAAAAAAGCTGAGGAACAAGGAACATTTGTGGTCAAATATCTAACGATTGCTCTAGACTAAACAACATACATATTCTTAAACTAATACAAACGGAAGAGACGCGTCGTGGCAACTTTACGTTCCAATCTCTACATTCTAAGAGCCACAACCCCCCTTCTAAACACTTCTGAGTTTTATATTTAGGCAAAATTACCGAAACATCGTGTTATAAGAAACAACGAGGAATAAATAGTCATAGTATATGTTTTCACAACGGTCTCCTCGGAAATCAGGAGGTGTCGTTGATGATTAGTTAGTGGAAGGGGGGGGGGTGCGACTGACGAATGTGCTAGGGAGTCACGATTTAATGTTCTCACGTTCGAGAAACACAGAGTAAACAATTTCCGTTTCGGCACCCTGCGGACGGTCGTGGATCGTTGAGTTTTTGGCGGCCGAGAGAAAGAGGCCGCGCGGTGAAACTTTTCAGAATGATGGATGCAAAACAACTGCGGAACACACATACCCACGCTCGCCTCGGGGACTGTGGAGGAATCGGAGCGCGTACGAGGTGTGTAAACTTTGTTCCATTTTAAAATTTTCTCGGTGCCGCCACCGCGCCGTCGCGGAAAAATCGGCTGAATTATATCGTCGCTACCAGCGGGCTCGTTATTTCAACGTCACCAGTGGCCAAGCTAGACCGATAAATAAACGGTTTTAACGGGGGTTCGTGAAGTAGACCAGCCCGATCGTGGATCGGATCGAGCGACTGCTCATTTTATTCGTTCACCCCGACTAGTGATGGCGATACATTTGTATCGTATTGATATTTGATATAAAATATGGATATTACCGGTGCCTATACGGATTGAAATAAAATATCGACATTATCGGTATCGATACGTATTGATATAAAATATCGGTATCATTGGTAACGATACTTGTAATTAAATTAGAAATAGGAAATAAAAGGCAAAAGTGGAAAGAAATCGTTAATTTAAGGAGATATTTACTAAGGACTAAGATTCTCAGGTAACAGAGTGGGAAAAAAACCGATCGCAAACTTTATGGGAAACTCACGATTGATCCACTTTTCCTTACAACTTGTTACGTTACGGCAAATGCAGCGATCGTATCGGAATTTCGAAATTTATGGGTTAAGTATCGATACTGGAATATATCGTCACATTAAATATCGATATTTTAATTGAAAATTACCGATATTCGAAATATCGATACTGTATCGCCCATCACTAACCCCGACGGTTTTTATTCCTAAATTGTCGTTTCCCAAACCGTTTTGAACAAGATTGAAATCCAGAGGGTAAGTTCGTTAAACACGTTTTCCGCGCTGTTCGTTCGACGAACTCAAGTCAAATTCCAGTTAATATAGTCGGCTGACATTGTATCGTAGACGACGGTACAAGTTCGAGTAGCTTAATTAAGGTCCGTGTAACGAAAAAGAAAAAAGAAAAATAGAGAAAAGATCGAGGCTTTAAGACAACGAACGTGACGAATAGGTATCGATCTAAGGCGGCGTCGGGGGCAGGATCTAATTTACGATAAAGTAAAATCGGGCCGGCCCAAGTCTCGTGTGCGTCCTCTGGAGATGGGAACCGGGGGAACGGTGATGGTCTCTGACTCACCCTCGGTGAGAAAGAATTATGGTCGTCGAATGTGCCGCGTCGGGGCGCGCGCTCTCGTAGAAATTCGAGGTTTTTCTTAGAAATCCACATTTACTCGGGGTTCACGAAGGGAACATCGTGTAACCGTTCACGAGAACCCCGGGAAATAATCGGGTGCTTTTCGATTACGCAATGCTTGAATTGAAAAATATGAACGGACATGAAGGGAAAGATCTATTCATAGTTCGCGACCACACGAACGACCGATGATTTTTTCTGGGTATCTGTCGGAAATTTCGTAAAAGTTTTAGTATATCTCCGAAAGCTATTACTATTTACTACGAAACTATTCCAAGATCCCCTCTATACCCCATCCCTCAATATTCTACTTCCACGTATTCGAACATTTTCATTAGGAATGGGTTTCTCGAAACCCCTCGAAACCTAAGAAAGTATCGAGAATTCAAAAGTTTGCACTTTTATCGTGATTCGATATTCTCGAAACCCAGATAAGAAGAAATATAAAATCGATAAATATTCGGAGCGTGATGCTTCGTGAATGCTCGGTGATCGGTTTTTTTTGTTTTTACGAAATAGAATATATTTTTCAAGCTTCGAGCGTTTCGAACGTTCGGAAGTTTCGGATTCGTAGTTTCGAGAATTTAAAAATTGAGTTCCAGCCAACCCCTAATTTTCACACCAATCACAGATTATAATTTTTGTGGGCGATCAATCTACCCGATTATTCATACACACATATCATCACGGGTCTCTGGTGAGGTTGACGATTCATTGACATCACGAACCGTAATCAAAGATTCTACCCAAGGCCACGAAGTAGTCGATCCTGGTGATCGTACGATCGACCATCCCTCCGATTCCTAAATCCCGCGAGGGAAAGAATTTCCTTCGATACGATTTCGTCTGGCTGTTTCCTTGTAAATCGTGGAAAAAGACCGCGCATGGGTCGCGGGGGGAAGAGAGATCGCCTCGGAAAGCGACGGATCGCGGGGGAGAAAAGGTGGCAGCGCGCAAGGGGCGCGAGGGAATAGAAATAGACGGAATTAGACGGATAGACGAATAGAAGAAAGACGGACGTGGTTTCGTCGAATGGGGGGCAAGGTGAAGAAAATGAAGAGAGACCGCGCCGGTGCTGGGAGGAACGGAGAGGAGAACGGTATGCGAAAAAATACACACTTGGCACTTGGCTTCGGCAGACGACGAGATAAATAGCGCGCGTGGGTGCGGCTCGGCGATGTCTACGGGCCACACGCCACGTTTCGACCGGAACGAGTCAGAGCGACGAATCCGGGAAAACAGAGAAAGAGAGGGGGAGAGGAAAGGAAAACACTAGGGGACCCTGGGGGAAGGGAAAAAGGTATTTCTCGAGAGAAAATACCATTTTTTTTTCTTTACCCTCCTCCTCACCGGTCATTTCTTCGAGAAGGTAGAGTGGAAATTATTTTATTTCCGCAGCAGAAGGTGGTTTTATAGTTACACCACTTAGTGAATAATATATACCCTTTATAGAAGACAGTTTTTATTGAACGTTTCGAATAATTTAATACCCCGTTTGTGATAACCACGCGCGACAGTCTAACGGGAAGGATCGATTCCTCATCAGGCATTCGTTTCAATCGACGTAGTGTATGTATGTACCGAGGAGGAGCCGTATTACGAGCGGACAGAGCGGAGCGATTCGACGAAAAAGAACGGAATCGATTGGACGGCTTGGAGAACGGGCAACACACAGTACACGAATCTCGCGCAACAGTTTCCTCGACACACTGGATTTTGACGCAATGCGTCAGATGGTCACTGTCAGACTTGTGCTTGAGTGGTTCTTCGAAAAGAAGCCGACCTAAAAAGAACCGAACCCTGAATGCACACCACCAACCACGCCTACGAGACCGACCACCGCGAATCATCCGCAATTAGCGGTTTCCCCACCCCTCGGGTTATACTCTTTTTCTCTTAATTAATTTTCCACCTAATTTCCTTCGGTTGAAATCGTCTTGTTCACCAGAACGGAGGCTGGTGTGTCTTCTCGGGGCTCCGACACGAAGAAAAAAAGACGGCAACTCGGGAGAACATCGAAAGAAAAACAGGGGAGATGGGGGACGAAGTGGAGTCTGACGAATCGCGAAACGGAGCAGCATTTTAATAATACACGTATTTGCATGCTCGAGTGGACACGTTGCAGGCGCCAACATGCCGTGAATATTTTTCTTATTTTCGCGAGCCACCCGGCGGCGGCGGCGGCTTATTCTCCACACGGCTGTTTACATTTCACGTTTCGAGCGGCCTGGTACTTCTGACGGCCGCCAGTGTCAGAGGGATCATATCCTTTGAGGAGGGTCTCCGCGAAAAAAAAGGGGTTGCAGAGATTTGTTGTTCAACCGTTTCACTGATAACGAATTCGCACGAATCCGAACATAAACGATCGATATCACGAACGAAATAGTAGGATCTATCGATTTAACCCTTCGACTGCGACGGTCTTTGCCTGAAAACAATCAGCATGTACGGCTCGATATTCACTTCAAATGTTTGTGAGAATATATCTACGCCTTCTGCATATAATAAGGGCGTATGTGTACGTCTTTCGCAGTAAATAGCTTAGTACCTTAAAAAAACCACCCCTATCAACAAATTTTCTTCAGAACCAAATGAATCCAACGATCAGAGCATAAACAGAACAATAAGGCTGGACTGTATTCGATAAATCCGCCTGACATCCTATTTACACAGGACAAGCAACAAACAGATACTCTACAAGAAATTCCTACAGCAAACAATAAACTAAATAACGTACAATTTAAAATCATGGAATCGATAATAAAATCATATCCACGTTTCTCAAACATATGTACGAATGAATGTGTACACAGGACAGGTGAACTCGGATATCTTTCCTGTGTCTATCGAACAACGTGCATGCGGACTAAAGGCTCCTATAAACGATACGATTTGTCGTACGACAACGTTGCACAGACAGTTGGACAAACGATCGAAACTACAGATTTTTGTAATTGTCGTTCAGACGATCGAAGTGACCCCAGTGTTCTACCATCACAGTTGCACGACAAATCGTATCGTCCTATGGAGTCGTTTAATATGATCACACGATTACAATGGAAATTCTCCACTTACCCGGTGAAACGGCGAGTGCGAGGAAGGCAGCGGCCGCGACGAGCACGAATATCCTAACCGCATTTCCGCCGGTTCGTCTTCTGCCTGGCCTTTGACCGGAGGCATGACAGGAGGCGCCGCGGCGAACGTTGTTCGTCGATGATTGCACGTCGCGAACGACGACGTACGCCGGTTCCTCATGCTCGTAGAGACGACGCTCGTCGTCCGTGTCCGCGTCGTCGACGATGACGCCGGTCGTCGTGGCACCGCTGCAGCCGCGTCGACGTGGTGGTGATCGCGGCTGCTGAAGGTCGCTGGCACTGCAGCTGCTGCCGGTACGGTCGATTACCGGGCCGTAATACATGGCCTGCAGGAGCGACGACGACTGCCGCCGTGCCACCGGGGGCTGGACTCGTCAGCGTATCCTTCTCGGAATAGGCTGGTACGCGAACGGGACAGCACCTGCGGCGTCCTTCTTGCCAACGACCACCAGCGATCCGACCGATCCGCGAGGCATCACCGCGACTAACCGAATACCAGCAGCACACTTTGTCGTACACTTCTTTCCTCTTGTTCTTATTCTCTTGTTTTTACGAGATTCCCTTTCTGTCTCTATTACGACGATACCCTTACGGGGAAGGGGGTTGCTCTCGATTACAATGTGTAATTACACTGTCTTCGTACAGGACTTCGCGGATGTAACACTTGTCTTCTGCTTGCACGTACTTATGGTAGTATAGTAAGATAGTATATGGAAATTTGCACCGTGGTGTGTGTGTTTTGGAATATTAAACCTTCGATCCTAGAGACCGAACCTTGGTTCCGCACTGCTTCGTATTGTTTATGGTTTACCAGCACGCGAGCGCGTTACCAACTACTGTTCTCTCGGAAATAGACTTCCCTCGGTGTGTGTGTGCTTTCATATTTTTCTTTCGCGTCGACTGTTTTCGATTTTTCCCTCTTTATATTACTCCATCCGAGGGACCACTAAGACCACCACGGAATCCTAAGGTGAACGAATGTATCCTGTCTCCCCGGTGGTCGGAATCTCTCTTTCTCTCTCTCTCTCTCACACACACAAAGACACACACACAACCCTCTCTATCTATCTATCTATCTCTCCGTGTAAAGTGGAAGGCGGACGAAAATTCACCCCGACGGAAAGACTCGACTCTGAAGAGGAGCCCACCGCGTGTACTCTCCCGGCACTCCTGTCCGCCGTCTACGTCGGAGGGAAGAAACCCTCTAAACGAAAGCGCGCACGCTATATTACCGGCGACACGTCGCCGCGCGTCAGTATGCGAGAGTGTATACCGCCTGCGTGAAGGGAGAAAGGGTTCGTCGCACTCTTTTTCCTTCCTACCCTGAAACCCCTTTTCTCTCTCACCCTCCCCCCTCTCTCACTCACTCTCTCTCTCTCTCACACCCTCTCTCTCACACCCCTCTATCTAACTCTCTCTCTTTCTTTCTCTCTGTCCCCGGTTCCGTCCTTGAATCCCCGTTGAACAAACCACCAACAATATTCGTCACCCACCGACACCGCGCGCGTCACCAAGCACCTTCTTCTTCCTCCTACTCCTTCGTCTCTTTCGTCCCCTGTTCTGGTCTCTCTTAATCCTTACGCTCGATGAACAACGACGACGACGACGACGACAACGACGATAGTAGTAGCAGCAGCACCGACCGGCTGCAGCTCGTGTGTCCAGCGCGCCTGGACACTACCACCGTCCGGTAGGAAGTGTCGACTGCCACGAGGTGGACACCTCTGCGTGAGGCTCCGCCAGCGGTAGCAGCACCAGCGGCGGTGGTGGTGGTGGCGGCGGCGGCAGCAGCACCGGCGGCGGCGGTGCTGGTAGCAGCAGTGGCGGTAGTAGCGGCAGTCGCAGCTGCAGCTGCTGGTGCACCGGCGCATCCGTTTGCACCTCGCATTCGCGCCGCACCGCTCTGTCCCGACGGCTGTGTTACCAAAACAGAAGAAGAAGAAAAAAAAAAGAAATCGAAACCGATCCGCCAAACGTTCTTTTTCTTCGTATCTATATTTTCTCTTCTCTGGTATATTCTTTTCCGATTGTTTCGAGAGACACAAACTCCAAGGGCCTTATACGTTCGATCCGTCCCCGTGGACACTTGGACGTGTACTGACCGACCACCCGTAGAGGCTTGAACAGTTCTTCCTTCAAACGGCGCACCGCCAGTCCACCTAGCAGTTGTTTCAAGCAGTGTGCAGAGACGACGCGATGTGGTATCCGTCGACTGGCTAAGTACAGTTCGGCTATCTCCGTGGCGAGTTCGTGCCGGCCGCAAACACTCTTTATCTCTGTCTGCACCGCGCAGGCGGCTTTCGTTCGGTAGTCTTTCTAGAGGAGAGGAACGTTCAGAATGATAGGAGAAGCGGCTACACGCCAAGCTAAGCGGTACGCTTTCAACTTGCCGCCAGTGGCAGCAGCAGCGCGTCCGCGACGCGCTCACCCAACGTTAGGGACACCCCCTCGATACCCCGCCGATGCCATCGGCCTGGCCCGAAATCGATGCCCCGCAACGCGACGTCTCGAAACCACCCCCGCGACCTGTACCATCAACGAACCCTCTCTTACTCCCTCTATTCCACCGGCAGTTTCTCCCTTCCTTCGAACTACCCCCCACCCCCTCGCTCTTACCAAACCACCGCTTCAGCTCGATTCTCCCCCTCCCGTTCTCCCCCCACGTAACTCCGGTGTCTGTCTGTTTTCTACGCTTACACCGTCGCGAGCGCGTTTCAGCCTCGTCGATGAACGGATACCGTATTCTCTTTTTACAGTCCGGTGCATGAATGGTGTCCCATGAACGACGGTGTCGGGTGACACCGACGATCGATCCCTTCGAGGGAGGAAATTAATACATGCGGCACAACGTCACGGAAATTATCCTGAAATTGTTTCTGATTAATCATTTGAGTATTTACATACATGTACGGAGAATCGGGTGGATCGAAAAGTTTTGAATGACGATGTTAATGCAATTAGCTGTACTCACGTCAGATGTCTAATATTCCTTTCGTTGCAAGAGTGAATCCCCTGGTAGGAATCATTTTTTAGACTGGGTGCTGATGTTCTTTGCGTTTAGTTAAGTGTATGAATTTCTTACTGATTTACTAGACAGTTCCAGCAATGCACACAGTCTTGACAGGATTATTACTGCAGTGCACTATAATTCGTAGCTGACTGCGGCCCATAAAAATTTACGGCACCTTTTTGCTCATTCGCCCCGTTGGCACACACTTCCCGGTTGCATGTAGACGAAACTTCTATTGTTGAAAGTATTCCGCGAAACTTCACGTAATCTCCTTTAAAAACGTCTACGACGGAGTGGTCTTTAAATTTGCAAATTTTCAGACATTAGAAATGATTCGTGAAAACGTTCATCGACAATTATATGTATTCACGCCACTATTTTCAGATAAGGAACGACGTACTTTCTCGGTGATCTTGGCAATCCCTTTGAATCGATTCGAAATCATCAAATCAAGAACAAAGATTACCTATCTAAGAGAATCGGCTATTCCAACCCCTCCTTTCCCGTAGCAATATCTAAAAAGCTCACTGCATAAAAGAAGGCTGAAAGGGTCCAGTGTCCACTCAATTTCAGGCAAATATCGCTTAATGCCACGGAAATGGTTCCCAGTCGGCCGTTAAACCGAACACGGTACCCAATAAAAACAAGAAGCGTGGAACAGTCCACGGTTCCTATAAAATTTCGTGGAAACGGGAAAGCAGGACACGTTCCTTTCTGAGTCGCCTTGGAGATTGCTCGGAGGAGAGCGGACGGAGTCAATAGACTCTACGTTGCGGCAGATGTACGTATCGATTTTGGAACGTTGATTCGCGGCGTGTTCCAGAACGATACCGTTGCCCTCTGCACAGGGACAGAGAGAAAGAGAAATAGATGCTGTGGCCTCTGTGTCTCTTCCAAGATCACCCACCGGCTGGTCCCCGGTTCGCCTTTTCCTGGCCCATGCACAGTGACGTTACCAGCAGGCATGCGGGACTGTGACAGGGGGGGTTCGGAGAGCACCTGGAGGGCCACTGGGTGGCCGGCATTACCCTCGCCAGGTGGTTGCAACTTGTTGTTGCGGCTCTCCGCTTGGGCCTTTCTGCTCTTCTCGCCACGGGTCCCCAATGGGATCGCGCGTTCGCGGTATACTTGACCTGTGAATGGACCTCCATTCCCTGTGTCATTGATGTTTCGTGGATAGGGCGTTGGACCGTCGATTTGCTAAATCCCAGATACAAATCAACTGAATTATTTCATAGTTATACTGAATGTTTATTTGTAGAAGAATTCAGCGGAGATTCAACTTTTCGTTAAATTCTACCGATTCTTTTTCGCTGTCCGATAATCACGACAGAGGTCTAATAATTGTCGAAGTCACTCTCGATTTTGCACGTTAAAGGGAAAGAAAGTTCGTGGAAAGACACATGCAGCTGCGTTCATGGATCATTTACGATGCCCGTTACCCTTGGCGGTGAGGTGATACGTCCTTCGGGCACGACCCCATTGTTCCCCGGTTGAAAGGAATACGTGGATGCTCTCTCATGTCGTGCGTACGATCTTCCACAAAATAGAGGATCCTCCCGTGTGGTCACCCTTCGCGTGGCACGCGCCACGCCATCCCACCTTTCTTTCCCTCGGCAGCCGTTGCCTTTCAGATCGGCAGGATAAGGAATCGCTCTTCCTGGCGAGCAAGGGGGGACGATTCTTCAGAATGTTACGGTTATGAAATTTCTTGCAGAAGCCGAAAGGACGGCGACTTTGTACGGTGTCTTTGATGTACATTGCTCACGACAACGTTATTGATAAACATCAACATTGTCGAAATGGTAATTCTGATAAAATTTTATTATAAAAGACAAAACCGTTGTATTCTATTATCAATATTATTACGAGTGGAAGATTATTTTCTAAAGCAAGGACAGATTCTTTCGGGCAAAAGAACGATGTTACTTTAAAAAAAAAAGAATTGTAGGACACCTACACGATTATATAATTCCATAAAACGGATATACAATAGATATATGGAACCGCGACCTCAATGTTATCTGCAAGGTTCCAACAAATCGGACCTTGAAATTCCCGATTGCCTCGGGAATAAGAACAAAGTACCCACGCCAAAAGTTCTCGTCGACAATAAGCACGAGGATCGCTCGCGAAAGGAAAAAAGAAACAATGCTTATATTATTCTCCCGGAGTGTGCACCCTGCTGGTTAAACACAGCATCATATTTCGATATCGCCGTACCGCCAGGGGGGTTTGTTTTCCGAGGCTGCCCTTGAGGATTTAAAGAAGCTGGGATAAATGGCACCCCGCCTCGCGCCCATTGCATACAGCCCGGATCGCGATTCGTACGTACGGTGATTGAACGTATAAAGAAAGGCAAACAATAGGCTCTCTCGAGGCGGGAGCAGGTGAAAAAACTGATGCTCTCGAGCCCACTTACGGTTGTCGCGATTACCCTGACACACATAAAAAAAAGGAAAAGGAAACATTATTGACCAATAATTCGATTTCTTCAACGATATCCTCCAACCTGAAATAAAATGATTAACACAAAATTTACAAGACGATAAAACATTGGTAATTTCGTGATCTGTCAGAGGAGAAACTTTACAAGGACATTCAAGATGTAGATCCAAGAGTCTTTAATGTCATGCCCTTTTCTATTCATTCCCGTAATGATCGTTCGAACGAAGGGCGAGGAAAGGCGGCTAGACCGGGCAAGAAAGAAACAAAAGTCGAAAGAAGGGGCTACCGAGCGTCGAGGGATGACCGATACAAGTGGGACATTCAAGAAAGGGGTTAGGTCCCATACGGTGACAACGGCAAAACTCGAAACGACGTCGCCGGACTTGGCTTCCGGCCATTTCCCAGCTATCGATCCACGAAGCGTTACGACGAAGTTGCCCTACGTGCAATTATAGGTGTATCGTGTGTATAATACGACCCTGGTATGTGCATAGTCGGAGGTGGGGAAGGGGCTAGATCGTCGTTGGTATACACAAATACGATCTCCAAAAATTTGGCCCGACAAACCGGGATCCACCGAATTCTTCGATGGCCGTGTACGGAACAGGGCTATTAAGGACAACTAGTTCATCGCTTAATACTTAACATTGTAGACAATTTAGCGGTGCTTGAGGGAGAAACTGGTCAGAGACCAAAATCTTATGCTAAAATTTTTAGATAAGAAAGGAACAGATATATCTTTAACATTTTTTGGGGGGAGTACCGTACTTTTTCCCGAGGATCTAGTTTCTTTGGTCCGAGCTTTAGGGATTGAGAAGTTTCACTACGCATCACAGTGACTTTTCTAGTATCTGTACAACTTAATTAAGTTTTGCGTTACACGAAGGCAATCTGAAAGTTATAATTGATTTATCTAACAAATCAAATTTTCGGTTACCGCCCAATGGTTCCCATAATATATGTATTTCGGGGAACTGGCGTGTAGGAAATACGCAGTTCACCCACCCTACGAATGCAACACAACGGTGCGTTTCCACGTATGCGTGGAATCGATAACTGGGAATTAGTCTGACAGGCTGTCTGCCAGAACGATGTACGTGCATCTACGCGAAAAACCATGCCAATCGTCTTAAAGTAATTACAGGCCCCCTGTTAATCATCTTTGATGTCCAGGGGTGCTTATTATCTCTAATGAATTTTTCCGATCACCATCGTTTCAGGATTTCTAGTCGCAATTCAGAACCACAGTAATCTTTCAGTATTCTCAAGAAACGCCATTAACAGTTTTCACGCAAATCGATCGATAATTTCGTTCTTTTGGGTTATGGAATGAGAGCTCAGAATGCCCTTTGAATTGTTAAGTATGCAAGTTCAAACAAACGGATCGTTTAAATCTATTCCATCACTAATGTCAAGTAGTTCAATGTTATATACAAAATTTACGACAAACAAGTTCTTGAAACAAACAATTTTGAAATTGGGTTATCACTATTGTTCTGTTGCTAAAATCTTTTCCCTTGGTTCTCAATGTCCTCACCTATAAATTTATACAGTGAAATCATGTTCGTCTTTCGTAGGAACTCGAGGTGAAAAGACTACCTAGACATAAAGGAAAACAAACTGAGGGATAAATGAAAATATGTCCACAGAAACGGCGCCGTGCAAGCCATCACGGGACTGAGATAAATAGAGGATCGCCGTAGTCGGTACCGAGGATCAATATGTCACAACCACGGCCACAAATACGCGAAGCAATGAACATACATATACACAGTGCTGGATATAAGTATTGACACATCGAAATTATAACAACTGTATTAAATAGAAAGCGTTCCACAATGTTAACTTTACTCCATAAAGTGGTATCGTTCTAACCGATCAACCATTATCATAAATGCAACGTATTCATTTAAATCCGGAAGTATACATAATGGTGACTTCCTGTTTAGAAGGATTTTTGTAATTATTATCACTGTTATATGTATAATTTTGTACTACTATAACCAAGATAAATGTTCCATTCATTTTAACAAATTTAACACAGCAGATATGTCTTCACCACAAACATTTATTGTTACAAGGAAACCTATTGTAACAAGGAACCTTATTGTAAACACATCTCGCAAAGAACAACATTACGGTACAAGAAACACCGTTGAGAACGTTTTTTTCATATAATTCATTGTAAAAATTACTTATCACTTTACTATACGGTTAAAGATATCCAGTCTTGAATATTATTGACAGGTATAGAGTTAAATGTACTGTATTTACCGTTTTCGAAGATATGACCTGTTTGTATTTCCCGCGTACGGCGCTGCAATCACAACGTAAAAGACCGCGCTTTTCCTAGACGTAGGATGTTCTCGCTCCCTTCGAAATTGCTGTTTACAAGGGAAAAAGGAGGATAAATTGCAGAAAACGACTGGACAACCTTGCGAAATACTTCTACAAGGCATATGAAAATGAAGAACCCCAAGGAATACTTTGCATTACATTTATACAGAATATTCTCATACTGACCGCCATGAGGACGTTACATCGAACCGATGAGTACTTCAATATACAATAAGTTACGAATAAATTTACAGTTAACCTTCCCAAACATTTCAAGGGAATACCGATTTTTACCCAGCATTCATTATATATGTAATGCAAAACATATCTACAAGTATTTAAGTATTTGAAGTTTAAAATCGGATATAAAACTTACCATGTACACTTATGTTTCTTTCGTGGCATCCGTGAAGTAAGGGTGTTCGATTCCGATTCGATTCTTTGGAAGATCGATTCTCTGCTGTTCGATTTTTCTGCGAATCGATTCTTTACTCTAAAACTCGCGAACCGGTGTTATTATTTCTCTCAACTTTTTATTTCGATTTTTTGAAAGAATCGGTTCTCATGATTCGATTTGAGAATCGATTTTAAAGTGAATCGAACATCCCGACCATGGATCCAACACGCTATGAAAACTTAATTACCGTCTGTGTTTGTTCACTCAATTATAAAATTCAGTGATGGATAGGTGAAACGAATGACAAGTATTAACTACTCTATATTAGCACCACATTAAGCAATCTATTCATAATTCATTGAAATACGGTATAAATATAAATGACTATATTATAGTATACTTTATGGTATTAAAAATACCTTCTCTTCAACTGGCCTATAAACATTCATTTTTGAATGTTATAACATGCTGAATTACAAATAATTTTTTTAAATTCTGCATTATAATTACACCTTGTCTGACTTCTCATTAATCTGTCCTAGTTTCTCATGAAATATATATTTCAATTAAAGAAGTCAGCCACTTCTGACAATTCTCTTGCTCTTGCTTGTTGGTGTGCCCAACGGTCCTCTGCAAGCTTGTCACTTAGTCCCCACTTGTCATGGTAGATACGTTTTCCACACGTTGGACATTTCTTACCCCCTAGGACAGAAAGAAAAATAATCTAAATAGTATAATACTTAAATAGCAGATGTTTATGCATTTATTACTACTCTTAATTGGCAAAGCATAGGGAAATAGGGTTTTTCATAAAGTTTAATGGTAATTTAGGTATTATTATTAATATTTTGAACGCAGAAAGCTGCGCTTTCCCTAGACATAGGATGTTTTTAATCACTTCAAAAGTGCTATTTTACAAGTGAAAGTGCCAAAGAAATTGCAAGAAACAACTGGACAACCTTGCAAAATACTTCTACAGCGCATACGAAAATGAAGTATCTCAAGAAATACTTGGCATCACATTTATACAGAATATTCTCATTCAGATGGCATTGAGGACGTTTCAACGAACCGGTGAGTACTTTTAATACAATTAATCTTTCCAAACATAACAACAGTATTATCATTAATATTACAGCACAGGAAATAAAATTCTGTTCAAGTATAGTTTTTATATATTGATATCCAAAATTTTGAGTTTACATGATCTTCTGCAGTTTAGTAATAACAATAACATAGAATTTATATATATTTTCTGAGTAACTTGTTACCATGGAATGGGGGAGTCTTCATGAATGTCACCAGACATTGTAAATGAAACAAATGACTGCAATATAGTCTTTCCACATGCATATCTGCATGTTCATTGGTTTCTGCTTCTTCTGGGTTTATTGGTAGACATAATCCTTTGCAAGACTGACAATGCTCTTGAGGTAAAGTCTTTACAGCTCTAGAAGAAACAAAAAAACATTAAATTAATAATAACACTAAAGAAGGGATATCAGTTTACTTACCTTATAAGGAAAGAAGCAACAATGTTCAGGGATGGTGATGGTGTAAAAGGTGTTTTCTGTAATTGCTTTTTTAGTGGTGACTCAACACATTGTCTGCCTAATTCTCTTCCTTGACCCAAAAAGTAGCGAGTAAATAGTGGTGGGAAATTTGTGTCAGCATCTTCTAATCTACAAAATTTTATAATTTTTTAATACACATAACAGTATATGAAGATAGTTTACATTTATACATACTTTACACAATCAATCGGATAATTATCTGGTACTTCAATCTTAGCCTTAAAGTAATATAATCCTTGTTGAATCTTAAGGCCAACGCAAGAATGTTTCTGCTTCAATTTTAATTCATCATCGATCTGCAATATCTTTTTTAAGGTAGAAATCTCATCATAGCAACAGATTAAAGGATTTTCCTCTATGAAATTACGGATTAGCTTCAATGTGGGAAGCACCTGTCAGAGAAAGAATTATCAGTGTCCCTATAATACATCATAAACTAAAAAAATTCTATTCAAAAAAGAAAGTTAATCTTACTTGAGCTTCGCCCAAAAGTTTCTTGCATTCTTTTTCACAAACTTCTGTCAGTCCATCCAGTAACTTTGCAGACAGTGTTTTGCTCTTCAATTCAGTTAGCAATGGATTATGGGGATACTCTTTTGGAAATTGAATGCACGCAACAATTGTTTTGAACTTTGTTTTTCTGTAAGTTTGAAGTCATATGTAATTAACAAATCATATTTAATTAATACAAACGGTATTCCAAACGAACTTACGTTATTTCCACTCGCACCATAGTGCGCACACAAGAGACGAGACGGCTACCATCGACGACATTTTGACAGAGTTTTGACACTTCTTGCAGTTCATCATCAATAAAGCCCATGAGAAAATTGAAACAGATTTATATTTCGCGATCTAGTATCTGCTTATTGGTTATGTCAGCAAATTGTATCCGATACCGCAGGAGTTAACATAACCAAACTAGTAAAAACACGAATATGCCGTTGCGTTCCGAGAAATTAACGATCAAGGTCGAGCGAAGAATTTAAACTTCATTCGGCCATTCGCGTATTAAAGTACAAAATCTAGAAATTAGGTATCATTCGCCTATTGCAATGACACAACGTAACTCGTGGAACGAAATTTGAATTGATAAAAAAGAGGAATAAGAAGTATATAATTCATTTCTGTCTTTTCATTTTTTACAATACAGTATAGAAGAAAACATAACAAGGAAACTTTTCTGGAAAGAATACTTTTCTCAGGTAAAAGGATTGTTCCTGTGTGCGCGAATAACATAAAAACAAATTGAAGTTCTATAAAGAATTATTGTGTAGTTTTAATTGTTATTTATGACAAGCAAGCACGTGGTTTCATAAGAATGTCTAGCAATGTCCAGTGTGAATTCATTTCATCTGATTGGTTAATACAGTCTGAAAAAATAAGCATTGGTAGGCGGTTCTACCATCGGTATACTCTATGGAGGATACATAACCTAGTTCCATGCACGCGTTCACGTGTATTTTCAATTCCAGCCTGACAGAAGGAGGAATACATCTACGTGCAACGAACCATGTCAGTGATAAAGTGACAATAACCATCGTTTAAATAGACGAAAAACGGAAAAATGTCGCGGATCGCCGATACCAGAGAAGTGATATTAACCAGCGACAGTGTCGGTGAGCACTGGAGTGCCGCCCTATGGGATCCTCAAACAGGCTCTATTTTGTCAACGTACAAACAAGCTGGTGCATTAACACACCGTACATTGCAACTACTGAGCGACAGTTACTTGATCGGCGCCGATTTAACGAAGCCTCGTATACACATATGGCCGTTGAACAATCCAACTCCAGTATCCACTCTGAGGCTAACCACCCCCGGCAAGGTGACTGCCCTGGCTTGTACGCCTAGCGGTGCCTACATGGTCGCAGCGATAGCCGAGAAATTATTTCTCTGGCAGGTGTGCAACGGTCGTCTGTTAGCAAACTTGTCGCAGCATTACCAAACGGTCAACTGTTTGTCGTTCAGCACGGACGGTTCGATCTTCGCCAGCGGCGGGGAGGACGGTTTGGTGTTCGTGTGGTCGTTGTACCGTGTGATAAACGACGAACGATCTGTTCCGTTGCACGGTTTCTCTCACCATTCGCTGCCGGTGAAGGATCTCCAGTTTGGACACTTGGGCGCCAGAGGCAGATTATGCTCTGTGTCCCTCGATCGTACATGCAATATATACGACCCGTCCGGGGGCTTGTTATTGCTGACCCTTGTGTTTGACGTGCCTCTAACTTCGGTGTGCATGAATGCACGGGAAAGTGACCTGTTCGTCGGGTGCACGGACGGGAACATATACAGATTCAATCTGCACGAGCCGCCTAGGGGTATAGAGCATCACGTGCAAGTACGAAAGGACGGGGAATCCGAAGGATTGATCGCGTTTCAGGGTCACAAGTCGACGATTGTGTCTCTGTCGATATCGATCGACGGCCGTTACTTGCTCTCCGGTTCTAACACCGGCGAGGTTCACATCTGGGATATCGCGAGCCGTCAAGTTCTACGAACGCTCGATCACAAGGGTCCGATCACCGCGGCGTTCTTCGCGAAATACCACGGGAACTTTCGGGCCACGGACCTCGAGCCACGCTTGCGTGTATCGAACCTACAGAGGACATCGGACGACTTCGACGGAAAGCAGACCGCCATCGAGGTGATCTCACGGGACCGAAATGCCGCGGACATTCTGAACTACGAATCGTACGTGGAGAATGGGATCGATTCGGACGGTGCGGCGGATTCCCACACGCGGAAGCTGCTCGAGATGCTGGGGGAGATCGAGAGACTGAAGAAAATCAACTCGGACATTTATCAGTACAGCGTGAAACAAGTTCTGGAGAAGGACGATAAAACTTGAGAAACGGGAAACACTAGGGACAGAAATGATTTGCGGATAGTCCTTAAGTTAATACGATTTTTCACGATAACTGACTTGAATAAACACAATACCTGTTATCCCTTACGATGTAGATGAAAAAAGTACCTGCCCTCTCAACCTTTCATGCTTGTTATCTACTATTTTGTATGTAAAGTATTTGTACATGAATTTTGTATTACGAAAAGTATAACGACATTTCTTCGATACTCGATTTTATCTATCTCATTGGTAGTCAAGAATTCTGCTTGTAAGAAAGAAAAATCGATAACTTTGCAGCCTAGTTGATATAAAATGAAGATGTTCGTGCTTAACTTATACTGGATTAATTTAGTATCTTACGGGGTTTAGAACTAACTTTAAATCTGAACGGGTTAAAATTGCGAGTTTAGTGTCTCGTAAGGACTGTGGGGACCCCTTAGTAATCTCAAAGGGCAATCAATGAATCATATCCTTACGAAGGCTTTAAAAGCAGGTCGCAGAGAAGCTTCGCCTGGCCCGAGGGCTCGACGTCGACTGAGAATTCTCCGTTGCACGGGCACTATTTATGCTGTTCGAGCGGAAACAAAGGACACCCCTGTTCTCTTCAACTCGTATGCAAACTTGATGCAATTGATTCGCGTGTTGAATTCCACAAAAAACCGTTTACAAAAAATGATCACGATGATGATTTGCACTGCAGACACATTATTAAATATTATTTTGTAATACCAAATATATTCATTTTAATTGGTAATTTATATTCGACACAACGCATATCCAATTTCTACGTTCATTTTTTTCGACTGTTTCGAGAAGCATACCCAATAAAAATAGCTTCGATATGAAATGTAATATTGGAATGGTAAATCGTCGGCGATGTAACGGAAATTCTGTAACTAAATTATAGAGTAATTTTCCGACGAGTTATCCCTTCATTATCCCCTAAGTCGTACCATATTACGAGATATACCATGATTTTTCGTTGACCCGAGCGAAGAATTGGATTAATTATTCGGCACGCATCAGTCAGGATCGTAATATTCACGTTCCGTAATTTTACACCGCCAGATCATGGGATTCAGTCGTATTTTTCAACTATGGCCGACGGTAAACAGCCGGCCGTATTTCACCGGGCGTAATTACGTTGCAAAAATGAATTCTGTGTGCGGCTAATTTAAAAAACGACCCCTCACCCGATCGAGCATTCCGCCGGCGAAACATCCGTTCCAAGGAGTACAATAACGTTCACCCGTGATAACGAGAATGACTAACGCGTAAAACTTGATAATTCCAACGACAGATTGGGCACCGCGAACCGGGAACGGTTTATCCAACGAGAAATTTCTCTCTTCACCATTTTTATATCACTGTACAACGACGAACAAACGAGGACGGTGGAGGGTGGAAACATTGTTTCGGGCCGAAGAAAGGAATTTTCGTCTGGAAAAAGCAGCGTAGGAGGGGAGAAGTTTACCATCTCCTCGTCATAAATTTGTTTCATTATGTGCTTACAAGCTCCAGTTATGGGATACTTTGCCAACTTCAGCGGAACTTTTCATTGTGCCTAACACAATGATTTGCGAGCTCGGCGTATTTTCAGGAGAAGGAGGAGAAGCGAAACGAAAGAAAAAAGAAGATGGCGTTTAAATGGCGTGGACCGGCTGCCGGCCGAGTGAACCGAACGGAAAAGCACGCAACAACCACAGCTTCTGTCTTGTAGCTCAACAGGGTCAGGGGGAGGATATACATCCTTCTCTAAATATAATATAATATTCGTGAAATTCTCGTTTAACGAGAAGAAAACTTCCTTCTTAACGGAGTCCACGGCCCCAAAGACTGGGTGTGGTAGGGGGCCAATGTTATTCGAGCTCCCGGGCGACCCGTGTGTGTCTGTGTGCCTTTAAATGGTAAATTCCATTCTAAAGCAAACTCGCGCCGCGCGTCCACTTAATTAAAACGTAACACGGGATGATCGATCTTAAACGTTAAATACGACGGTCGGTATCGCCTGTTCTGCCTCGGCTGCTTTGTATTTAAATGAGACGCGAATGAATGCAAATGAGCCGTTTACGAAACCCCTGTGCCCGTACGTCGGGAATTAAATTAGGCCTAAGACGCGTCTAGCTCGTTCCCCTGGATAGAAAAGTTTTGCATGGGAATTACCCCCGTCTATCCCGAGCTTGAGAGGAATTGATGCCCCCGTATGACCTCTCTCTCTTCGTTAAATCTTTTCGTCTGTTTCCATCCCGCCCGCCTGCCACCCACGTCGCGAGAGCATTGCTCGTTACATATTGATCGTTCGTTTTTATATATATTTTTCTTTTTATTACGCGGTGCTGCTGGAGGAGTGGTTATTGATGGAAGTGATAGCGAATCGGACCAAGTATCGCATTCTTACAGCGAACGGGAAGAAGGAAGGATGTTCGAGACGGTATCGATAAACGTTCGGTGCTCTCTGTATCATGCAAAATAAGCGTGGTGTCTACTTCTATGCAAAACATCCCGTTACGGAGGGAAGCTAAAGGAGACACGATAAGGTTTCGGGATAACATGAACGGGGAATTGGAAGCATCGAGGAACATGATGCTGTAAACTGTGCCACCGGATTAAGGGTAGTCCGAGTCGCGGAAGAGATGGATTCTTCCTTAAAGCCGAAAGACACACAGGACACTCACGTATCTTAATTTTTGTCGTGGCGAAAATTTTTGGACAAAAACGGATTTCATTTCGTTCTTGAATAGTAGATTTATCGAATAAGTTATTTATTTTACCGGATAATTCCTGTTATAACGCCCCCAATAACTTGGTTTTTGAAAGATTGGATAAAGCCAGTAGAACAATCAAGATCTTTATAGAAAGATTTCATCATAAAAAAATTCTGGATCAGAGACAGAAAAGGTTGAGTTATGTGTTTGTAACAGAGATGCGCAGGTCTGAGTGGAATTGTAGGTGCATATAAGCTGATAATACCAAGAAGCTCAGGATAATGAATGATGTTGTGGATTAACTTAAAAAGAAACAACAAACTAAAAGAGATTCTACGAGATTTCAGAGATTTCATATATGTCTCATATGTATTCTCGACACTCTCGTACGATTCTACGGAGATATATGAATTCAAATCCTAGGGAAGGGGTGGCGATATCGAACAACTGTGACTGGTGTTTCGGGAAAAATGTGCAATACGCTGTCCCAAAGATTAAAGTATATCTCCATGTGTCCGACGTATCACGAGCTCAGGTCGAGTAATGCCGCATAATCTGTCCTGTTATGAACACGTCACGTATTTATAAATCTGCGTGTACGATACAGCCGCGTAACATGCGCCTGACTGTGGATTTGGATTATGACGAATAATTATTACTGTTAACTAGAGATGGCGTGAACTGTTACTTGTAATTATCCGATGCTCCCTATAAATCGTATTTTTCGTTCCCCATATAAATTACAAGTCAGGGTCGATATTTGCTTCCGTAGAGAGGCAATCCCATTTTTCTAAAAAAAAAAAGAAGGAAAAATCACGATTTTGGGTGATATTGAATTAAAGTTATAGCTGTCGCGTGATATTAAAAGCTTGCGAGCTCCCGAATACAAGCTGAAATAGTGTATTTGCAATTGGAGAATATTATGTATTCCCTCTAATTGGTGGATTATCATTTTCATTTCGAACTATTTTACGAACAACAGTATCGAAACAGAGCGCTCGTTTCTCCGTTCAATAGCCGGACAATTCTTAATTCCCCGCGAAGTTCTACTGAGAGAACCCGTAAAAGTCGAAACGATACATTACCCGACGGTATTTTGGCCCGTTTCGAGGACCGTTAAAGTTTCGCCAATACAATTATTTAACAGGCTGCGAGCGTAAACAAAAAGTTTATCCCTTGTTAGCGCCTCTGACGATAAAGATGTCTTTACGATCTTTCACCCCCTCGTGTGAACTATATAATTACCAGTGAAAAATCTCGACTTCCAGAAAATTCATAGTCCATACTATCATCAACACTCCATAACGGAAGAATCTGTCGTCTGATCTATATTATCTTACGCCCTCCACCTTATCTGAACAATATAAGACACCCATTTTCCTTGGAGTTAATTCAAAAGTTAATTCGTAATTTTCATTTATAGAAATTCTCTCGATACCGTTCACCGTTACAGCACAGATATCAGCAAGACGTTACCATTTCAGATATTCCGATCAGTGATTCATACTTATTTGCGCGCGAACGATTCAAACGGTGGTTTGTGCAATATGCTCGGAAATTTCGATCATCAACGGGGGGCCTAGGCATTGATTAACCATCGTCGATCATTGGGAATGAGAATGAAATGGGGGGGTGGTGCTAGCACAGAATGCGAGATGGGGAATACGAAACAAGAGGGATGAACCCCTCCTGGAGGGGCTGGCACAACCCCCGTAACCGGCGGAGGCGCAAGGTATAAAATCAGACGTCGGATACCTGGAGGTATTCAGTACAGGTTGAATCTCCGTGGCGTCATCTCATTGAATATTTCGATCCTTGAGTGGTACTGACCGACGCTCGCAATGGGACGTACAAATCACACATTTGTATTCCTGATCGTTTTAATATTTTACACCTCTCTCAACCGTAAGTGTACAATTCCGATCGACACCGTTTATTTCCCGGGCTTTCCTCCGATCTCGCTTTGATACACACTTCTCTTTTCATGGTTCATTGATCCATATTCCGTTACGTTTCATTTTGGTATCCTCTGTGCTTTTCTTCTACACTCGCGATGTAATTACATTTTCCTTTTTTGGTCCTGTGCTTATACTTCTTTTGGTATCATCAAAATTAAATCGACTTCAGATTAATAGGCCTGGAAAAGTGTTGTTACGTTCACTGATTACGTTTGATTTCGAAGAGTATTCTCTTGTTATAGCGAGCTTACGATAACAAGCGAGAAAGTATACCCGTCGTGAGCAAACTTGGAAAAAGCGAAATAGAGGAAGTATCTACTTGGTAAATTTCTTTCAAGTACTGAAATAAATGTTAAACCGAATGTTAATTTGGCACGAATGTCAGTAACTCTAAGTGGTAGGAGCTCCTTTCCCTAAATAAATTCGTTAAACGGGCGTGGACGGTAAACGAGCTTTTAACGACAGAATACTGTTTCTCACTTTCCTCGTACGAAATCGCTATTGTCCTATGCGCCCTATTGTCTTTTCAGTATGCCGATGCTCGGTTGGCGAACACATCAAGACAACCAGAGGCAAGCTGTACCATCTCAGTTTCTTTCTTTACCATTTTTTCTTTCCTCTATCTCGATGTTGTCGCGATTAATCTTGATTGATACCGTTTTGCTTCGTTCCCAGCTCTATCTGCTAAATAATCGAACGAACAGAAATTCTTCGTTCTCGAGTCAATATGTCTTGATCCTTTTTGATATTCTAGAGGGAGAGAATTTGAAGTCGAACATCAGACGTGCGGCGTCCGGTTTGATGCCGTATCCAAGAATAGGGCGAAACTCCGAAATGGCTGCCGGTTTCTCGAGGTCCGATCGTGCCGCCGGATTGGTTAATTATCCGCGGGTCGGTCGATCGGATCTGTCCTCTTCGAACATTAATTTCAACCGTTTACACGACATGGACAACGACGTGGATCTTCAATTTTATAACGTGCGCGACTTCGATCTGGATTCCGCCATCGATCAGGATTACGAAGGTGAACGAATCTCGGTGTCGATCAGTTTCGAATATCTGTATAATACTACCCGGCGGATAAATTCCGAATGTAAAGGTGGCTTTAAGTGGTTAAAAACGTTCCACGAAACGTAATATTGTATCAGGACTCTCTGGAC